GGCAGACCAAGAATGATGAGATATCCCTTTGGACATCATCTGTAAGTCTCCCCACAGCCCTTACTTACTACCACTAACATGTTCAGTACGGCGGCTTCTACGGCCCCAACTACTTCTCCTACTTCCAAGACCAAAACACCCTCATCTCCGAGTCCAAACCGACCTTTGCAAACGCTACGATTCTTAACCTGGCAACTCTAGGTCTTCAAGAACCTGGCATTGACGCACGGGCTATGGCGAAGGGGTATGCTGATTATGGTCACCATAATAACTACGGTCTTCAGTTCTTTGACGATAAGACTTACAAGGGTATGCTAGAGAAGATTGAGGAACCGGAGACGGGCTGTTATGCGTTGATAGATAAGTGTCGCGCTCTCGTGGCGGAGGGCGATCCTGAGAGATTTGGGAATAACGAGACTGTGAATGAAGCTTGTCTTGCAGCGACGAACCTGTGCTTCTTTGGGATCCAGGGGACTTATCAGGCTACCTCTGATGTATGGCCCCTATCACCATCATTTACGTCCTTACTTACTGACTTCTGCTAGCGATCGCCTTTTGACATCACACACTCCAACATCACGCTCTTCCCAAAGCCTTACATTGAGAACTTCTTCAACCAGCCTTGGGTCCAACGCGATCTCGGTGTTCCGCTTAACTTTACCACGGGAGTCAACAATATTGGTAAAGTGTGGTTGGGACAGACGGGTGATATCATGATTGGGAGTCTTCATGCTGTGGAGAGGGTTATTGAGCGGGGTGTTAACGTTGCGTTGATATACGCTGACCGCGACTATCGCTGTCCTTGTAAGTTCTCCCAGAGTTTGACTAAGGGTGATTGCTAATTGTCAAAGGGTACGGCGGTGAAAACATCAGTCTTTCACTAAATTTCCCCTCTGCTTCTGAGTTCCGCTCCGCTGGATACACACCCATCAAGACGAACTGTTCCTACACAGCCGGTTTCGTCCGCGAGCACGGTAACGTATCATTCTCACGAATTTTTGAGTCAGGACACGGTGTAGCAGGCTATCAACCCGAGGCACTGTCCGTGATCTTCAACAGAGTCATGTCGCGGAGGGACCTGGCGACTGGGGAGGTTGATTTGAGGAAGCATGTGGGGTACAAGACCAAGGGACGTAAGAGTGTGAGGGATGTGAGGAACAAGGTTCCTGAGTCGCCGGTGAATACGTGCTTTGTTAGAGATGCGCCGCTGAGCTGTACGGATGAGCAGTTGATGGCGTTGGCGGTGGGTGAGGCCAAGGTGAAGGATTGGCTTGTTGTTGAGCCGAAGGGGAAGAAGCCGAAGGCCATGAAGGTTGAGAGGAAGGGACGCTACGTTTGAGAGTAAACTGGATGTTCAATTGATTGGGTTAGATATGGATTTACTTCATTTCTATTGTTATTGTTTATGTAGAGATTTATTGACTTACACTGATTGACTCATCTGCATGAAAGTGGACCACAAGAGCTGACGTCACATGCCAACTCAGCTCTGCCAGCTCAGCTCCCCTCAGCTTCAGGACCCCTCCCTCACTAACGAACTCTCTACCCTCAGCCGAAATAACCTTAACCTTAGCTTCCTCCTCCATCTTCACTTTTGTTTCTGTCTTCTTCCAAAATGTCCTCCCGCGGTGTCCCAGAAGTCCTCTTCAAAAAAGTAGACGAATACGTCGACTCCCTCGCGCCCCAAATCCAACCCCGCATCACCTCCGAGCTCGAGACCTTCCAGCAAAAGACCATCGACAGCCTCGAAGATAAAGTCGTCGACGCTTTCCGATCGCTCTTCAACAAAGATAAGGATTCCTCGTCACGAAGTCCGTTCGATCTCAAGGATGATGCGCCTGATGCCTACGGTGGACAGAGTCTGCCGTTTGCGGATGAGTTGGCTAAGTTAACGAGGAGTTTTACAAAGATTACTGATGAGGCCGGGGATGATTTACGGGATATTTTCGATATCACGGAGGGGAGAGCCGGTGGGCAGGATACGAGATCGAGGGGAGGGGAGACGTCGCGGGGTGGAGGTGGTGCCAAGGGGTTCTTGTCCGCTGCTTTTGACGCGGTGCAGGACCATCTTGAGAACAACAACGGCCGAGGAGGAAGTCAAGGCTTTGAACTCGATGGTCTACTGGGTGTGATCAGCAACACTGTCAAAGACGCTGCACGAAACCCCGAGGAAAAAGCACGCATGATCAGTCCCGAGATCAAAGAACAAGTCGGCGCCAAACTCCGCGAACAACATGCCCCGATCGCAGAGCAGTTTACGCGCATTGCTCTCGACCACATCAAGCGCTGGCTACGAGGAAACACGAGCACCAAGGATCTAGGCGATGGTGTTAAGGGAGAGATTGAAGATCAGGTCAAGGATCTCGTAAAGGGAATTGGGGGTTTGTTTGGGAGTAAAAAGTCCAACGAGGGTTCGGCGAGAGGGTTTGGCGATGGAGATCGTGATGGTGAACGCGCTGATGGCGAGAGCGGCGGTTTCTCAAAAGTCATAAGCGACAAGCTCAGCACAGGTATCGCAAGAGTCCACAGAGAAGTCCGTCTCGAGTTCCGCAAGATCCTCGGCGGTATTGAAAAGCAGCTCTTCGAATTACTACCCGACCAGTTCCAGCGTCCTCTCGAGAAGATCCTCGGCGGAAACCCCTTCGATACACAGCTCGACCGTGACGCGGGACCAGGTCACTCAGCGGATAGAGGGTTTGGGGATGATATCAAGGCGAAGTTGGTGAACAAGATCAGAGGGCTGGTGAGGAAGGTCCAGGAGACGCTGAGGGAGAGTATCCTGGGTGTTGTTAATGGTGGGCATAGGAAGTTTGAGAGGCAGAGCTGGGTGTTTGTGCAGAATATGGTGGAGATGAAGGTGCAGAAGTATCTGCCCAAGGTTAAGATCTCGGTGCCGGATGATATTGGGAATGAGGGTGTTAGTGTTGGTGCGCCGGCTCAAGCGAATCTTGGTGGTTCGAATGCGCCTGTGCCGGCTTCACAGGGAGGACAGGGAGGATACTCGTCAGGTCAGGGAGGTTATGAACGACCGTCGGAACAACATGGAGGGGGTTACCAGCAGCCGTATAATCCTCCCTCACAGTTTGGGGACAATCGACCTGATTACCAGCAGAGCCAGGACTACAGACCGCAGCAGAGTCACGATTACAGGCCTCCCCAGGAACAGGACTACAGGCCTTCTCAAGGGCAGGACTATAGACCCCAGCAGAGTCAAGACTACGGACCTCAAGGGCACGACGAGTATCGACCTCAAGGGCAACAGGGCGATTACCGACCACAGCACCAGTCCCAGCAGGATTACAGACCTCAACATCAGGACGAGTATCGACCTCAGCAACAGCAGCCGCATCAAGAGTATCGCCCTGACCAGTACCCTCCGCCGCCACAACATCAGTCAAGTCACTCGGGGGGATACCAGCAGAATGAGGGTTATCAGAATCAGGGTTACCAGCAATCTCAAGGCTACCAACAGAACCAAGGGTACGGGCAAGGCCAGAGCTACGGAAGCAACCCTCGCTACTAAGAGCGCATGCCAACCAACACCACATGAACATTTGCAGATAAGCGATGCATTGCGAACTTATGCACAAAACATCAGATACAACAAGCAGCACAAGGGTACATCTACGCCGATGGCTTGGGCGACGCTAAGTACATAGATTGATGAATGAACGGCCATTTCCATGATCTGATCCCGTCCCCTGTTCTTTGAATTGACTTATCAAAATGCCGAACACTCCGTCTCCCCTCCCGCTGACAGATAACGCTCTAGAACGCCTCTTTGCTACCGAGACCCTGGGTTGCCCCACAGATCCTGAGTTCCATGCCTTCCACCATCTACGGACTACACTAAACCATCATATCATGAAAACACCATGACACAAAAACCCCCGTCAATCCCACCATGTGAGACTTTCTATTCTACGACGTGCAGAACATACACCCAGGACCCTGCATCACGAAGATCTCAGCCACCCGCCCTATTCACTTGGGATTTTGTGATATCACATGACATCCCGGTATGCTTGGCAGGGTGGTCTGATTGTGTTTCTACGTAGGAGAAAACTTTGGGAGCTGCGAGTGATATGATATGATGCTTCCACGTGCCTGGGCTTTCGTCACAACGGCATGATTTTGATGACCGAGGTTTCGTTCTAGCGCTGGGGTTTGCCAGTGGCTTCGTTCGTGATAACTGCACACCCAGAGCAGAGCGCGGTCGAAGTCCGAGATGTGCATGGCATTCTGGAACATGGGAATTGCGCGATAGCTTCAAGGGTTCTTGATTTCAGGGTCCTGGGAGTGTGATGGCATCCTTGTATGCGGTTCCGGGGGGTGTAAGGGACCTTTGGTGAGGGAAGAGATAACTTCAACTAGAAAACTCACGATCTGATCATGATGGTGTTTTTGAAGAGATCCGCGGATGCCGCGAGAGTTTGATGATGGGAGACGTCATGGGGATATGTCATGGGAAGTACGAGCCGAGACTTTCTACTATGATATGAGATCTGGGTAAGCGAGCGAAGTATCGCGGGGGGTGTCTTGGCCGTTCGATGGAAGAGGCTCTGCGCCTGAGAACTTCGTCGCTAACTAGAGATAGTGGCGACAAGCTCGCTGTCTCCACAGGAAGCTTTACTCAGCTGCTTGGGATGATAGTGACGTCCAGGCAAAGAGCTGGTCCTTCAGCTGCTGGTAGTGAGCGTTGTCTGAGATGCAGCTGATGCTTCTCCTTGACTTAGCTCTTTGTCAAGTCACAAGTTGCTCACACGAGATTGTTAGTCTTATCTGTTGTTCCCGTATCGAAATGTATCCTGCATGTATTATGAGTTGTCTTCATTGCAAGTTCCCTTGAAGGAGCTGCCTCAATCTACACCAGCTCCCTTGCTTTGGGACGAGCCTGACTTCTTCAAACCATTACCCTCTCAACCCTAAATACGATGCACAGAAGCCTCCTTTGATAAACACGCTCTTTTATTAACATTACTTATATCCTCTATGCTTCATCACCTCTCAACCCACAACCCTCCATTCCCATAAACCTGATCCCTCAAAACCCCAGCCTCACTCCTAACTCCAACCCAGTGCTTCGGTATCCTATCCATCTGACTCTGCACCATCCCCGTCGCATCCCCCAACCTCTCCTTGATCCCCTTCTCGCTCTTCACAGCCCTGACTGCCGACACAGAAACTTCCGGGCCCCAGTTCTCCCGCCCTAGACTCGCTGTCGTGGTCATCACATCGCGCGTGTGCTCTTCTAGAAAGGCTTCATTGCTGAGATTCGGGGAAGACGGGTGCAAGTGCCCCATTAGCATGACTTTCATGCGCAGGTCGAAGAAAAGTGTGTCGGAGAAGTCGTGCAGGATGTGCACCGTTACTTTGTTACGAAGAACGACGCCCGGGGGAGCGTTGCGGAGGGGTGCGATGGTGACGATTGCTTCGTGCCAGTCATCGTCAAAATCTTCGCTTTCTTTGGGTGGCAGGACGCTCGCCCACGCTGCAAAGACACCGCCCATTCTCATCTTGACCTCATCACCAACCTCGCTCAAATTCGCCGTCGGTATTCCCAGCTCACGAGTAGATATCCCCGTCCCGCGAACGACCTTGCCCGCAAACTTGAACGGGAACGGCGCTTCAGGCCCCTCATCACCCCCAAGTATCGTCAACGGCTCCATCGCCTCTCCCGATATCAACGGATCATACCGTCCCGCCTTACCATTCCTCCAGCTCTCACTAACCGCATTGCCAATGCCACTCCCGTGATACGCTTTCGTAGCGACTTTCTTGATAGTAGCGTTCGCCGGCGTGAGTCTCTTGGCCCCCTGTTCGACGACGGCACCTGCGACGCCGGTGTACTTCTTTGCTACCTGTGAACCAATCGTGCTAGCGACTTTGATGCCCATCTCCAAAGGCATAGTGCTTAGACTTGAACCGCGAACGGTGCTTACGTCGGTTGATGTGCTAGCGATGCGGAATACGGGACTGCCGCAGAGGACTTTCTTCCCATCGGCGTTGGAGCAGAGAACGAGGCGGAAGTAACCATCTGTTGCTGCGGCGGGGATACGAATGATGTGTGTTTCTCTCGGGAGATGTTTCTTCATACGCCCAGAGGCTTTCTTGACGAAACGCTTGAAATCGCGCTGTATGCCACGTTCTTCTGCCTCGGCGATATGTTCCACGCCTGTTTTTGTCGCGGGCGTGACATCGATCCAAGTCCCTGTCGTTCCCATCATTGCTTTAAGCGTCATTCCCATGTTTCCTGAATATCCCTTCTGCTGCAACCACACCGTCCTCGTTGGCGGGAGAGGCTCATCTGAGAGGATGGTGATGGGTACTGAAGTCGCTGGACCTCTGTACCAGATTAGAGCGTGAGAATGCCGAATGATGCTAAAATGCTTGTTTGACTCTGCCGGGTGACTTATAAGACCGCCAGCGAAATACTGCGCTTCTCCAAGTGCAGCTTTCCATTTCGACGAATCCTTCGGTTTATCTTCTTGAGCGTCCAACCTCGCCGATAGAGCAGATGAGCTCTTGACTCTTCTAATCTCGTTTGACGGCGCAGGACTCAGAGGCGACGGGGATAACGAGGTCGGACTTGGAATCTCATCAACCACAAAATCAACCTGATAATTCCCCCTTGGGTCCAGAAACCCTGACTGCTGCGGTGCATGAGCGCCCGTGAGATTCGTCGCCGAGCGGACCGGGCGCAGAGGCCGCGGAGGCGGAGGCGGTGGTAGGCCGGCGCCGAACTCGGGGCGGTAGGCACTGTATTCCGGGGGCGGGGACGGAGTTGGCGGTGCGACGGGGGCTGGTCGCGTGTAGTAATTTGGGTCAGACCATTTCTCTGCGTCTGGAGTTGGAGGGAAATACGGATTCATTTTGGTCACTGAGAGTAGAGTAGAGTATTAAAGAGGGATTTTTGGTTTGAGGTTCAAAAGGGAGAGAGAGGTATGTAAAAGATGAGAGCATACGTGTTGGGTGGCCAAGAAATTGCACCGTGTGGGTGGTCAGGGGTTTAGATTGCACACAGTATTCAGACGAAGAGTGTTTCTACAAGTGTTTCGACATCAAAACCAGGATAAAAGATTAAATATCAATAAAATCGCGGGGATGATATTTATAGAACATTTATTGTCTAATGATCATCTCTCAAATAAGCTTATTTATTGTGTTGGGGCTCGCTTCACTCTAACTTGCAGAAACAAGGGCCTCCATCTCATCAGCTTCCCTTGGCACATCTGTCAGGTTCTCAGAGCCAGTCTTGGTGATGAGGATGTTATCCTCGATGCTATCAAATACCGGTTAGCAAATTGCTTCGATAGCGCGACGGTGGCCACCAGAGCCATAACTTACCGAACTCCACCGACATCCCAGTACTTGTCCAGAACGTCCTTGTCGATGAATTTGCTGTGCACGGGGTCTTCGAGGTAAGGATCAATAATAAACTTGCAGAAGTAAATCTAGAAATGTCAGCACCCTGTAAAATATGCTGCGAATGTCACTTACACCAGGCTCGACAGTGACAACGCTGCCGCTGGGGAGGGTGCCCCGCACGCGTAGGTAGCGGAACAGCTTATCCTTGTCGCCAAAGTTGGGGTTACCGCCGGTATCGTGGGTGTCCATGCCAAGATAGTGACCCAGACCGTGAGGGAGGAAAGCAGCGCTCGTGCGAGCCTTGAGGATCTCATCCTTGTCGCCCTTGAGAATGCCAGCTTCGAGGAGGCCGTCGATGGCGATCTTGTGGGCGAGCAGGTGAACATCGTCCCAGACAACACCCTCCTTGAGAACGGAAATACACTCCTTTTGCATCCTAAGGACAGTCTCATAGATGTGGCGAGACTCCTTGGAGAACTTGCCCGAGAGAGGGAACGTTCGTGTCTAAACGGTCAGCTCAATCCAACCCAAGATCTCATGTACTCACAATATCGGCAGCGTAGTTGTTCCACTCACCGCCAGCATCCAGCAACAGGTTGAGCTTGCCCTCCAGAGGCGCATTGTTTGGGACGTAGTGAAGCGTAGCAGCAGCTCTTCCAGCAGCAGCAATAGGATCATACGACATCTTCTTAATACCATAAGAATAGCATCTTTCCTTGAACGCCGCCTCAAACTCCTGCTCATTCTTGGCAGTCTTGGCCCTCGCAAATGCAGCGCGATGTCCAATGCCAGAGATATAGTTCGCCTTTCGAAGCATCGCGATCTCGAACTCGTCCTTGACCACTCGCGAGGTCTCGATAGCGGTCTTCAACACATTAAAGTTTTTGTTGTCGAAGCCAATGAAGGAGACGTGGTCGGAGACTTGGTTCGCGATGGCAAAGGCGGAGGACTTGGGGTTCTCGGATCCGAGGTGTGCGAGAGTAGCGTTGAGCTCAGTGGTGAGTTTGACTTCGTCGACATCGTATTGCGCGAGGGCCTCGTCGATGCTGACGGGGAGACCGGACCAGATGACATCGTCGGGGTTGATGGGAGGGATGAAGAGTGTGGATTTCGCGGATTGGATGTCGTAGACGAAAGCGCAATCGGGGAGGTTGCACCCGGTGAGGTAGTAGAAGTATCGGCGCTGACTGCAAGATCAAAAGATTAGACGGTGTCTTGGAGATAAGGTGGGAAACGCACCGGAAGGGCTCGGGCTCGTCGCTATCTTCCATCATTCGAGTGATTTGGCTCTCGAGGTATAGAATGCCATTGGCATCGGGCACATCCTTTCGGATGAGGTCCACGACACGTTTGGCATGGTCTTTGCCTGGGTATTTGCCCTTGAGGACAGCCTCGTAGTCTTCAGCGACCATGGTAATAACTCTAGCGTGGGGTATTTGCGATAAGAAACGCGGTCGCGTGGATGATATCGTATTCAGACGTCGCACTTCCGTGTACAGGCTTTGTCGAGCTGATCTTGCCGTATTTTTAGAGAGAGTACGTGCTGTTGCTTGAAAAGAACAAGAACAAAGATGGAGGGGAGATTTGAACAACCCCGCTATGGACCTCGGATTCTTGGTCATGACGGAGGTGCATTTCACAAATTAGGTAGCTCCAGTGGCTGCATTCACTAATCGACTGCCCGTTACGGGGTCTCCAGTGTGGGGTCACGGCTGACAACGGCTTCTGCAGGCAAAACAAAACTGGATAATGAGCTTATGGAGATTTGAGATGGGAATTTGACGGATGGAATAATGGTCCGTTTGAAAGATAACGGAATGTATTAGGTGCAAGGTAGACTATGTACAATAGATAGATATTGAAAGAATAATACGCGAAAGAAGGTGAAGCGGCATCAAGCCAACTCTGAAAGAAACTCGAGAATAGAATCGTATGTGACAGTGTGTGAGTATCCAAAGTTCAGTCCATGACCTGCACCCGGCACAACAGTTGTGTTGAATCGAGAAGCTTGTGTAAAGAACTTCCTCGAGATGTCGAGCAACGAGGGCAGCTTCTCGTCTACGCTGATAGTAGAGTAGCAGTTATCGCCGCAGAAAGGAACATCGCGTGCTGCAACAATTAGTATCTGTCGTTTCACAAGGAGCAAGGTTAACTTACAGCCAGTCACGATCTGGACTGGGCCAGTGTATGTGTTATTCTTTCCCGCTGGTGCTCCCAAAGTAAGAAGTTCACCAGGCGAAACAGGCTGGCCCTTCTCATACGCCACTTCCAGCATCTTGGGGTCAAAGTCGCCCTCTGCAAAGAAGTTGATCTGAATGCCCACTGTAGACGACACTCCGACATACCCAGCGGGGTATTTATCGGCCAGAGGTGTAGCAGTAATAGGAACAAAGTTGCTTCCAACTGCGAATAGCGACAAATAAGCAGTGGCCTGTGAGAAGCCCGTCAAGACAATAGCATCAGTGAGTTCAGGACTCTCATTCGCAAGCGCATATGTAATCACCGAACCAAACGAATGTCCCAAGTGAACAACTTTGGAATGCTTGCATCCTACCCCAAGAGATCCTTCACGCGCTTTGGTAGTGAGGGCCTTGAGAGCTGCAATCTCGAGGAAGACTTGGATCTCGTTCAATGGATCACCCTTGGAAGAAGCACCGACTCCAAGACGGTCCCAGGTAAGAGTCGAGTAGCCATGCTCATCGACCGCTCGTGCGACATAACTGTAGTTGTAGTTGTTGTAAGGAAAGTCCCAGTAACTTCTATCAAAGCCAATGCCGTGCGTCATGATCTGAAGTTCCTTTCCAGGACCGGCATCGGGTTCGCAGTATGTAGCGGCCAGTTCATAGTCACCCGAGACAGTAGTAAACTAACACCGTAAGCTTGTATCAAACTATTGAGTGAGTGTGTTACTTACACCCTTCTGCACCTGTTCCGGATATGGTGGCGCACCCTGTCGTGCGAGATTGACAGCAAGGCTTGTAACGTCAATGCCCGTCAACGGCGCCTCAATAGTGAAAACGGCATTTTGAGAAGTCAGTGACACGGGAACGGTGATGTTTGTGCACTTTCGCGCCGAGGCGGCGGTGATGAGGGTGAAGAGGGCCAAAGACTTGATCATGATGACGACTGTCTAAGAAGGCAACTGTTTTGGTCTGAGACTAGGTACCTTAAGTAAAGATAGAGAGATAATTTAAAGCCTCGGAAGTGGTGATCTTTATATGAAGAGGATATGCATGTCTTAATTACAAATTTCTCCTTCATCCGCTGACCGGTCCTGCAGAGCTTAGCTGCATATACTAATTTGTGTTTCTTCTTGCATATACATTACATCCCATCCCATCCTTGTAGATATCATCTTCGATCTTACTCCACATGAGAGAAGAGGTCCGAGTCGTCCGACCATGATCGGTCAGTGCAACCCAATACCTCCTGAATAAACTTCTACTTATCTTGAAGGTTTACTAGGTTCGGCACAGAAGAGTAGCAGAATGTTTATTATGCTACAGTACGGAGTAGCACGGCACTCAGGGCACTAGCGGAGAATTAATTCTATACCCACGGACGCTACGCAACGGGTCATCTATTAAGATCTTCACTCGGTAGAAACGAACTATCCGATGTATCCATCTTGGCAAAATAACATGTGTTCAATCACGGCCAATCGGTCCAAGTTCGTAATACTCGGTGTAAGTGATTAATCTTCCCCCCCCCCTGCAGAGCCTCTTGACGTGATAGATGCAGAGTCATGTCATCGGGGACCATTTGTTGATTGTAAACCTTGCAACAAACTCAATTGACCCTCAGACTTCTTTTCAAACTTATGTCCGCTTGCAGAAATGACGAGTAGCTTACCAAGATTAGCAGATCTTGGTGGCCAATGTAGCTGAGAGGTGAGGTCATGCCGAACGGCTCCATCCCTTGCATTGTGATAGTCATAAGTCTCAACTGAGACAGACACACCGACCGGTACGGGGGCTTTTTGTTCTAGCGGCGAATGGAAGAGCATAATAAAACGGGTTCAGGCGTCTTTTTTTTTAATTGCTCTATGACGGGGCAGGGTCTGAGTCGAGAACATGTATGTCTTGAGTCTTGTCTCGTACAATAGCCCAAACGGAAGATGACAAAAAGACGACAAGTGACCAATAGCAGTAGGGCGGGCCAGCTGCATTTAGCGCATAAGCAGATTGACAAATAACAAGCATGGATCTATTTGAAATACATCTTACGTCTCACAGCTCATCCTTCTCATCCAACTCATGCTGCAATTGCATCGCCATCCCAGCAGCTGCAAAACCGCCCATATGCATCGCCTGCAAAACACTCCTCATGACCGTCGCAGCATCGCCAAATGCAAAACAGCCTTTCACACTAGTCTCGTTCAACGGCACACTAACCTTAATCTCACCCGTTACCGTCTTCTCCAGTCCCATCTGTTCCGCAAACGGTGCTGCTTGTGCAACATTAGGATGACTTACTACGAAGCCTTGGGTCTTGGAGGAGCCGTCGTCAAATGTGATTTTAACAGCAGGGCCACCGTTGATGAGAGCGAAGGATGCGATATTTCGGGTGTCGTAGTGCACTTTACTGCTGTGCACTTTTGTCTTTATGGTTGAGGGGAGAGAGGTATCGCCGTTGGTGTAGATTGTTACGGACTGGGAGAGGCGCTTGGCCATGGGAGTTACGTGGGCGAGCATGTCAGCGCTGGAGACCATGCCACCTGCAAAGACGCCCACACTCTCTGCTCCTCGCTCCTCAAAGCCATGGCAGTAAAGACAGTGGAAACTTCAGAATTAGCAAGGTACGTTCACAGCTCCGGAAGCATACTCACATTCCCTTTCCCCAGCACTCGGCATAACCCTTGGGCTGCTCCTCCACAAGATCCTTCACCCCGGTTCCAAGACCAAGTTTCTTTCCCTGATAGATATTGCCATCTTGATCAACTGCTTCAAATACACCAGTGTCTGTTTTACGCACGGTTGCGATGGTTGTGGACTTGAACTCAATGCTTTCGTACCGCTTCTCAAGATCTTCACGAGCTTTGTTCCGGAAAACAGAGGGCTCAACGTGATCGAAGCCGAGAACGTTATGCATGTGTTTTGTAGGTGCGTTGCGATACACGCCTGAGTCGAGGATGAGCGCTGTGTAGACTTGACGAGCGAGGGCGGATGCCATAGCAAGACCACCTGGGCCGCCGCCGATGATGAGGACGTCGTAGAGCTTGGATGACATTTCGATTATACGAGCAATGGGAGAGACTAAGAACTATGTTGTTTTGATTAAAGTATATGATATGGTTGCTCTTTGGCTTATATACTCTCAGCGGAGAGATCCTGAATATCTCCGGCCGGAGACTTTGATGATGGGGCGGAACCATCTAGAGGTTGGATGAAAAAAAAAGGTGCCGCTGACTTGATGCACGGAATCTCCATCTGTACTCAGGCTATTGTCATTAAAGATCAGTCGTTGTGGCTCAACTCAACGTCGTTGGCTGTGTCGCCAATGGATGACGCGCAAGAGTTCGAGGGCAAAGAGTTAGTGTCAACGTCAGCTCATGCATACGTAGCTACAATAAGATACTAGCCATCAATCTCTTCGAATCATTCTCTCTTTAAGGACTTATTGATGGTAAATTCAACTAGATCAGGGACTTTTGGGAGGTCCTTGTTGGTGATGTTGGTGATGAACTTGCATTCATGAGCCGATTAGCCGTGTATACGGATGAGCGGCATGCACTGAACGAACAACTACAATAAAAAAGTCACAGTCGCAATCATAACCACATTTTTGTCTACGGTGGTCTACTATACCACAAGATCAGGCTGAATACCTAAGGGCTAGATATCATGCTGGATGTCATGCTGGAGAATAAAGTAGAAATGCAGGTAGCAGGGATCGCACACAGCGAACAACTTTTCAGTCATAAATCACGGTGCCATGACATCTCACGACATCGTATCATCAATCATCACAGAGAACGCACGTATCGATCAAAAGTTTGAGGGTATAGTACAAGTCCAGACCAAGTCTGAGCCATCAATTGCGCTATATAAATAAAAAGTCCCGTAGGACCAATCCAAAACAAAACCAGCACTCGCTTCGACTATGCAAGCAGGTCGCTACCCGTAAGTAACTCCATCGCGATGCTCAAGCATTTCTGCGAGCACCAGCGCCTCACCCCAGTTCAAGAGACAACCCAGGCAGCGCCAAGTTTAATGAGGACCAGTCCGACGATGAGGCTCTCCCATCGCTATCTTTGCTCAGAACCACAAATCTGCAGTTTGCGTATTCCGAGTTCGGACCTGTTACGAGTCGTCACCTAGCACCACCCACGTCTCCGAACCAGGCGTAGCTGCACTATCTAAGAATTCCCGCTGAGAGGGTAAATCATCGAGTTCACTGTCTGAAACACAATCATAATCTGAGATCAAATCGGGCGGTTGAGAGGTATCAACGTCGAAGGAGGGGTTTGAACCGTCGAGTTCGTATATCACGCGCAAGGGAGCGAATGTGCGTGATGGTGTGGCAGAGGGGGCTGTGTCGTCGGAGGAGGAGAGGATCTGGGCGATGGCTTGGGAACCGCCGAGATCTGTGAAGGAGAGATCAAGATGAAGGGGCTGGTTGAAGCTGAAGCTCTGAGCGCGCTTCTTGCGGGACTGCTTGGCTGGGCGGATGGAGTAGGTGGGTTCTTCGTGCTTGATACTGTCAAGACTGAAGCCCTCGCCCCTAACCTGCTCGTCGTCGTACAGCAGTCCCATGCGATACAGCTCAGCGATTTCATCATCCTCCGTCATGGGCATCTTTCGTCCAAGGTACACATTCCCCCTCGCAGTCGAAGCATCACGGAATGCCTCCTCCCTCTCAAGCGTAGGCCTCCTCACGAGACGAAAGCGGTCGACAGGCAGAGAGATCCTGCTGTTGGCCAGATCTCTCCCCTCGACCTCATCGGAAGAACCACCAAGACTGGAGTGGTCATGTTTCCGGGCGATGCGGTTCCGATGGACTTGTGTCCATCGTGGATTCGCACGCTGCAAATTCCCCGTCGAGATCTCGTAATGCAGAATCTTTTCGAGTTGGGGACGGCGCGCGCCTCCGTTTGTGTTTGTGCTATCCTGTTGTCCACAGCGTAGACAGTGCGTCTCTCCGAAATTTGAAGTCGTGCAGGGAAACCCGGTCTCGCGGCACAGGTTGGCGCCTTTGTGTTGGGACTGGCGCTTTGCTGTGGCGCGGACGAAGTGGTTTCGACTTGTGTGGGAGCGGGTCTTTATTGTGCTGGGAGGATTGATAGGAAAGTGCTTTGCAGCTGGAAGATCCCCAGAGCTGTTGAGTAAGATGTCCATGATGGATGTTCCGGGGGCGTATTATAAGTAGGTTAGATGAACAAGGGTTTGTACAAGTGAAGGATACTATGTTGTGAGTAAAGATGTTATGTTGTCAAGAAAGGCGCAAAGTTGCGTGCTTGAACGCTAAAGGGCGCGAGATTAGGGAATATGAAAGAGGTATCTGGAAGAGTCGAAGGCTGGAGGGTGTATTAATACGATATCATCTCATCCGGGGCGATATCGTCGTGATTGGCCGCCGGAGGAGTCATATGGACTGCGGATGGCGTACTACCAACCTAGACTAGGCTCTTACACTGTATTACATTACGACTAAGGCCTTTGTCTCATCTTTGTTACTATGAGCAACAACAAGTACAGTGCTGCCTCGGCCTAGTCCTAGTTGTGTGACGTGACTCATATTGCATTGCTTGCTTGATCCGGGCGCGTCTTACAAGGCCAGGCCAAGATAACCGAGGTGGCGCAGCGAATAAGACAAGGCCTTGGGGGCTTTCCATTGTTGGGGAAGCCTTATCGACGAGGCACAGCGCATGGCGAGGCGCATGATGGGTTTGATTGACAGGCAACGTCCGTGTGATGCGGCCCTGATTGGCTGGTGGACGTAGGACTCATGACGATAAGCAAAACGAAGAGGGTGTCGTCATCTTGGAGGTATAGAGTCGCTGTGGTTATAGTGCATTGATACCTAGAGCTGCCTAGAAGGAAGTGTATTCTACCAAGGTTCTTTTCTTGAATGAGTTGTGCCCGATGACCAAAATTGCATGGATCAAGACAGGGAATCACAGTCTGATGTTACTGGGTAGGGGCTCAATGCGGATGACGACGAAAGCGTTTGATCACCGTGGAGCTGTTTTCGGTTTCGAGAAACTGGGTTAACCAACGATAACGATGAGATAGGATCACGGTGCAAGATAAGACGGTTCCCGTTGGAGGAGCTTGTTTATGGGGTGATAAGACATTTCCCCAATGAGGATATCCCGATAACACCCGGATGTTACGGCGGCTGGACGGACGAGCCGGAGGCTGTACAACGTTCAATTACACTGTAACTCACTGTATGTCGACATTGCTCTCAAATCTTGTGATTGACTGCATTTCAGCTCAAGTCCAAGATTGCATTTTCTCTAAGCGCTACTTCCCTTGATCAAGGCACACAGGTGAATGTGCAACGCCCAAAGCAGACACTCACATAACCGTAGGGTAACACTCACCAACCCCAGAGCAACCATCACTCACTCATCTGACTTGACATCCATTCCCTCAAGATACTTCCTCACATCAACCACCTCAATGCCCCTCTCCTCATTAACACTCCCACTCTTATCCCACGCAACCCCACGACCCTGCGCAAACGTATCCCTATACTTGACCATCGTGCTCGGCTCACTCTCCATCTGCCTCTTCATCTCCGCCAAATCCCACACCTCGCGCTTGAACTTTGTGTCAAAATGCTCATCTAGTAGATCTGCCAGTTCGCCGTAGGATATAGTATCTCCTGCTGTGTACACAACCTGATGCGATATACCCTGTGGATCGAGGACTATATCCGCTGTGACGCGCCCGATGTCAGTTGGTGTTGTGAGTGTGATTCTGTTGTCCCAGCTTCCGAGCGCTCTGACGATCTTATTCCCGAGATCAACGACCCCAAAGTCTGGGAGGAACAGGAAGCTCATGAACAGCCCAGTCGATACAATCGTCCAATCAACGTCCTTCTGGGCTCTCAATTTCTTCCGAACTTGTAACTGCTCATCAAACAAGTCCTGTGAACTTCCCTCCCCTATAATATCATAGTCCATCCCAAACTGCCATGGAAAGTATCTCTTAACGCCCGCTTTAAGCACAGAGTCTGAAAGCTTGAGCTGCGTTCCAGACGGTAAGCCCATGCCATTACACGAAACAACAACGTCGTATTTCCCAAAAATGGACGCTAGCTCTTCAACGCTTGCATTGACGACGTCAGCTGCTTCAAATCCTGCGTTGAGGGCACGAATGTGCTGTACTAGTTTCTTCTTCTCAGGAGCAGCAGAATCAAGGGTTGCTTGACGAAGAAGAACGGAATAGCGCTGACGCTTGGGGTGCGCGGTCAGGGCTTCCAGGATAGAGAGGCCTAGTTCCCCGGCGCCGAGGATGAGGATGTTTTGGGGCGTCATAGGTACTGGTATGGATGGATCGTTGAGACGATTGAGGGCTTGCAAGTTCTCGATGGAGAGTTCGAGAGGCGTATCGGGCGTCATATTTAGAAGAAGTAGTAGTATTTTAGGCTATAGTTTAATTCTGCGCTGCATGATGATTACGTCGTGAATAGGACGAGAATGAGGCTGGATCTGCATCTTGGCGGAGCCTCAACGCGGGGTGAACGAATAGCCTTGGCCTTGGGTGTAAGCAATTCCTCTATCTCCATGTTAAACTCCGACAACATCAAGTTATTCCAATTTTCTTATTGTATTTGTAAGAACAATAGGCTCCCATTATCAACAAATGGCAAGATCCTTGTTGGTCCACGATCCACATTGCTCACTCAATATCCGGTAGCTGAATAATCGAATTCCATCGGCAAGCCAGCCAGGGGCAAACATGACAAATGCGGAATGTCGATGGACTTTATTTCATTTTTGAAAATGCAAATACATACGAAAAAGGCCTGGTCGGCTTTTTATTAAACTCTGAGCTATACGATAGTAAATGCAGGCACCAATTTACCCCAACAAGAACGCCCACGCTTCCCAATGCAGCAAACCAAGAAAAACAATGATGATTTCTCGACTCTAGGAAAAATATAGTAGTCTAGCTAAGGCTGTATGTAGTGAATGAGGGTCACGAAAAAACAGTGTTTCGATGAAATAGCCTTATGAACTGACTGTGAGTTTGTTGGCGAATCCAACACGCTGACCCTTGAGGTCGAAGACGACGAACTGCGCCTTGAGGAGGATGTCGCCCAGAATGGCGAAGCCAATACCGTCGGAGCTCTGAATACCACCGTAGCAGACAGTGGTGGTGAGACGGCCGTAGTTGATGTAGTTTCCGGGGACTTTGCCCCGGTAGCTGCCGAAGCCAAAGTAGAAACTCGGGAGCTTCGCTGAGCAGGGGAACACCCAGACACCGTAGTCTTGGTCGACGTAGGCGCCCTTGACCTTTTTGTAGTAGAAGTTTACCAGGTAGCTGGGCAGAAGAAGGAGTGTGGTGCCGGTATCGACGATGGCCGAGTAGTTGTATTTGTGCCATGGTGCGCCCTGAGCGACACGGAAACCCTCAATGTTGAGCTGCCACCAAGGACTGTCCTTCTTGACCTTGGCGAACTGAATACTTCCATAGTACTCGCTCTGGTCGATGTAGCCAAAGTTGTAGTTTCCAGCCTTGCCCTTCTGCAGATTGGCCGTAAAGACTGGAACTGCTAGATTGTCCTGCACGTTCTGGAAGTAGGTTTTTTGAGCTGTAGGTCGGACAGTGTTCAGGCTTGACATGGCCAGACCCATGATGCCATGCGAAAACTTGTCTGCAGCGATGCCATCCGAGACTTCAGTAGCGGACTCAACGGCCTGCTTGTTGACATACGTCTTTCCAACCTGGACCTTGTCGGTATAGACAATGCCACTGGCACCAGTGCCATCGCCATATTTAATACTCCAAGTCTGACCGTTTAGTCTCTTGGAAGTTGATGACTTGTCTGGCTTGTAAAGAATATGACCAGCTTGGTCAGGTTGATATGTGTCTGTAGAAAACACCCAGCTGCGACAATTAGCAATGCTCCTTTCTTGGCCAAAGACAGGCAACTTACAGATCAGATGAGCCAGTATCAAAGTTCAGGTATGTTTGTTGAGCTGGAGTACCAATCTTGACAGGAACTACATACTGTGAATCGTAGTACTGAGGCGGTGTTGCTGAAGCAGTACCCTTCATTCCTGACAAGTGTTAGTCGTGTTCATTAGTCCGAGTGACAAGACTTACCAAGTTTATTGTTGATGAGCGCAGCCTCATGTTGAGCAATTTTTTTAAGCTTCGGGGGTAAAGGCTTGTGGTATTTGTTGTATGCCGCGATGAGGGCAATCTCGGCATGAGGCTTCTTGTAACGCGTGTTGGTGAGTTGATCCATCTTGACCTTTTCTCCACCAGCCCTAGGCTTGAGGTGAGCCGACTCGGGATCATTATCATGATCGATGGCTCGACCTCGCAATGTCTTGCCAAGTTCCTCCTCTTCTTGTTCCTCGGGATCAATGTCCCGCTTTTGCAGGCCTTTGACCCCTTCAACCTCTGGGTCAACAGCGTTGGGTGAAAAAGGATTCTTGACCTCATAGATATCCCCACGTGCCTTTAAATGGTCGTTATCGGATAAATCCCTGGGTTTTATGTCCCGGTCTTGTAAACCCTTCACACCTTCAACCTCAGGATCGACAGCATTAGGTGAGAAAGGATTCTTAACCTCGTACACGTCGCCACGTGCTGCAAGGGTTTGGTCTCCCTTGGGATCTATTGCCCTTTTTTGCAGACCCTTTACTCCTTCAACTTCTGGATCAACGGCGTTGGGTGAGAATGGATTCTTCACCTCGTAGACATCGCCACGGATTTCATGAGGAATACCCGTACTACAGCCGGCGAGGAGGAGAAAGGAAACCGTGCTGAATTTCATCGTGAATGATGGGTAGGGGAGAAATAGTTGTGATCGTGAGATGAAGATGTATCAGGAGGACGGGGGGCCGGACCTCATATTTCAAGACAATGGGAGTACTAGCAACCATGCATTGTAAGAGGCGGGCTGAGCGTTCCGGATCGAGGGCAAAGGCTATCATCCAGGCACTTCGAGATCCATAGCATGGCATTCTGGGCAAGCCTGGAGCTAAGTGAAGCCATGCTGGAGAGCTTAATGTGGAATGTGGCCCGTGAAGCGGATGGTTTTGGGTGGAATGCATCTGGATCAAGTATGGTATGGCCTGGCATCTGCATTCCGGGGCCTTGGGACTAGACATTTTAGACCCTAGAATAAATGCCACGAGCACGGCAGACTAGCCATGACCGAGACATTGCCCAAAATGTCCGTTCTTGGTTCCTGGTACCTGCGTCTGATTTGTCCGCGTTTGTCGTAAAGGGTCCCCATCTTGACGTTGAAGGCGTGCGCCGCAATGACAGTTGTCAGGGTCTCATGTGTGCGTGTGTGCGTGTGTATCGGCCAAGAGTATCGGCTTGAGACTGACAAAAACGATTGCTTTGACTTTCTTTTGGTGCGATGATCGACGGACCAGGTGAACAAGTTGGGGCGGTTATGATGAAAGAACTCTTGATAGATCATTAGATCTACAACAATGTCGTTGTTTCTGTCTTGGTCCACCTCTGGGAGCAAGAAAACACTGGACCTTAATATAGGGTATCAAAATAAACTCAGCAAAGAATATCCTAAATTTGGGTAAATTTACCTAAGTCTTTTTGTCATTTAGGATCAAGGGCCTGAGTTTTCTTTCGTCCCTTAGGTCCATTTGATTTAGTTAAGTTATGCCCAGTTCTGTCATGCATTTTCGTACGTCTGTCGTAAATGGCGCCTAGGTCATGATATGACAGCAACATGTTCTGATCCATCTTCTTCCCACATCATAGACCGACGAGTCTTGGACGGAAATCTCTCATCCGGGCCGTATTCCAAGGTGTCGGTTCCGTGGTTTCGTAAATAACCTCATCCTAGTGCCCACTAGAGATGGTCGTGGCTTGAGCTGTCGGAGAGCGGGAATGCACTGACTCGATATGGTGATGTTAGCGGTGGTGTTGAGGTTTGAAACTTGATATTCTGGGGGTAATGCTCCGAAGAGAGTAAAGTGACAGTCATTGGTCAATGCTTAACAAAGGCTCGGTCCCTTCCGCTTTGAGGCTCTTGACCTTTCAGTAGAGTTGGGGCCCAATCAAGTCTCTCATACAAGTTTCTTCATTGATTTACTGTAAACAGATGCGTCGTCACGATTTCTAATTTTACACTCAACAGCCATAGTCATGTCTGTGCTTTCTGCTTTAGGCCTAACAGTACTGATGTACCGATGATTGTAGTCATTTGCCCTCGTAGTCACCGTGCTTCTCTCTTTGTATTTTAAATGATGACAAAGGCATTGGAGGCTCAATGTGAAGTCATCATCGATGGCTCATCTCATGACTCCTCCACTGAGAATTACCCCTCCATGACTCACCAAAATACAGTGGCTAGAGTGGCATCTCCACTGACAGTCCCCCAGAGGAAGAAAAATCAGGCAGAAGGGAAATTGAGACTATCCAGATCAGCAATATGAGTAACAATGATTGATGTGCCTTGAAAAACATTCAGAAAATCAGGCAAATTTTCTATATAAATAATTCAATTTCAATTCTCAAATTTGCCAAGAATTATCTTAGAACGTTAAAGTGAACCCTGGTAGACACGTCCACCGATAAGATAACGTTTTTTTTTGAACCCCGCGGTAGCAAGGTTGCACAAAAATTCCACAACGCCTTCATCGAATTTGTTTCGCCAACATAACCGAAATATTTTGCAATCTCGCTAAATCCCATTGCAAATTATCCATCATGGATCCCGCGGCAGGACCAGCTGCTCCTCACGAGCCGCCCTACCAATACACAGCAAACCAGGGCTACCAACAGACAGAAGAAATACCCCGCGAATTCCAGACCCAAAAAGACGACGGTGCTCTTCTCGAGCAAGAAGACGACAATGACTTTGACGATATTTTCGAGGAAGATTTCGATGATAATGAGTGGTCCGCTGATGCGGGCGACTTGACCAAGTCTTATAACCGTCAGCGCAATGCCGACGGCGCCGCTGCTCCTCGCTCGAACCAGCAGAAACCTACTGCGAATACCTTTGCCAGCGTCGACGATCAAGTATCCGCCCTCTCTAAACACGCCGCTAAGCTTCGTCTTGACACTGTCAAGCAAGATGTTGAGAAGGACAAGGACAAGGCCGACCGCGCCACTAGCGAACAAGTCCTCGACCAGCGCACCCGCATGATTCTCCTGCAGATGATCAACCGTGGCTTCGTTAGCGAAGTCCACGGTGCTATCAGTACCGGTAAAGAAGCCAACGTCTACGGCGCCGTCCTCCACGATGATCAAACCGGCGAGGCTACCCAGAGGGCTATCAAGGTCTACAAGACCGCTATTCTCAGCTTCAAGGACAGAGAGCGTTACATCACCGGTGAGCACCGTTTCAAGGGTGGCTTTGACAAGGGAAACAACAGAAAGATGGTTAAGCTTTGGGCGGAGAAGG